TTTTATCTTTTATGTAATATCCTGCTGTCTTTCTCAAGTTTCATTTACATTCATAATATCATATGATTAGACAAAATATAACATCATAATCTTTTCACTCGTGTCTATCAATTTTCAAAAATAGCTAGTCCGACTTCACGCCCCAGGGGCGTTTAGTTTCTAACAATACTCCASTTTCGATTAACCTCGAAAGCATGTAATATGCTTTTGTTCAGCAGAGATCCTATTGTAATGCAAACACTCTTTGTACATAGAAGACAATAAAAATTTATGCTTGATCGAAGCTAAGCTTACACAAAAGAGAATTCGAAACTGGACTGGAGTATTCTAGTCCGGTCATTGTTTGGACTCCCTGTGGTTTTGACAGCTAAAGCTGATAAAAAAAAAATAATATTCAGTAGCGAACATTTTTGTTCTTTTTCACAATTACTTATTATTTTTAAAGGTATGCTAGAGCTCCATTCTTATTTCATTTCTTCCATTTGATTTATTATTGATTAACTCCGATATGTAGTGGAACGCTATCAGCCTAACCGATTGGGGTACCTGTGTTACTGCGCCCGCGAGTTCCTTGATGCTGCTGGCTGCTGGCTATAACAACAGAGTCTTATCCCAAAATCCAAACAAGACTCAAATTCCGTCACTATTATCAAATCTTTACAACAACAATGTTGTTTACACAAAAATAGTTGAAGGGGAAAAAGATACGATCAAAATGGATGAAGGAGAGAGCGATGAGAAGCTTTCAAAGGCTAAATCGAAAGCTCATTGTGACACATTCGAAAAGGCGTCGGTGGAGCAATGCAAAACTACTCAGAAAATACCCATCTCCAGTCTGACAAAGAGAGAAAAATTATGTCCGTTTCCAAAGAAGAAGAAAATACGAAGTTCTAAGCCAACATCCTACGTCCCTAGTGTAGATACGTCGCGTTCGAAATCCTCAAGCGACGTCGTTAACATGGCTATTCGAAAACTCCGATGGAAAGAGGTTAGTTGAACTTTTATTAGCTTACGCTGAAAATAACAAATATGTATTAGCTTAAATTTTGGTGTTTTTTTTGATTTAGCAAGACTTGACGTTTGAGGGCAAATATTGAATTTGTTGATAAAAATCACCTGTCTGTTTAAACAATCACCATAGTTCTTTTATACTTGTCTTCTAAACAACGAAAATCCGATGATCGTTCGATTTAAATACTACAGCTGATAAATGACTGCTAATAAACGTACTCAGACAAGTCTAATGACATGTTTTGCTTGGTATTTAGTTATATTCACCCAGTTTATATTGTTCATGGAATTAGTTTGCAGACAATTACGAGATTATAAAGTTGTTGACAGTTGAGATCAAGCCGCCAATAGCGACACAACTCGAAGATTGTTAGACAAGTATACCGTGGACATAAATCTGTATGCAACCTCAGACTTTGTTCAGACCTCAAAAATCACATTTTGTGTGTTTAAAAAGCCATTTCTGTATCTAAACACCTGGCCATCTTGGTTACAGATTTCTAAATGCCCGTATGTTTACAGAAAAAATAAGTGACCTATTAACTAGTCCACCTCACCTCACACACCATCATCTATCTCCCTCCTATAACTCTTCGATTGCTTCGCAATCTTCGAGTCAAAAATTATAAACGTCGTAGGGGCACATTGCTGGCATAGCTTAATATTAGATATTATATTATACGTACCACTATTATCATAAATATCCAAAAATATGTACTAATTAGTATATGTACTACACAAGATTTTTTCATATTTTTTATTATAAATAATCACGAATAATTAATATAAATATTTTGAATAAATGTTTGGAAATTTAGAGAGTAGTACTCTAAGAATGCTCCACAAGTTTTTTCAAGTGGTCAATATACAACAACTTGGCTACTGAAACTCTGCTCTCTGCTCTCTATAAAACAAAGCTATGCTAAGAATAAGCGATTTTCGCTGTAAGAATGTATGTTTGGTTCATTGATGGTGATTTTACTCCTAGTGTTGTTATAATGACATCAATTTGGAAATAGATCGTAGGGCAATCGAAGACATTATTCTGACATTGATTGAAGTAAAAAAGGAAAGCTATAAGCATTGCATTTTATTCCTTGTGCCTTTGAACAGCCTACGATTAATTAGCTTAATARATAATACATATGTTTGTTGTTTAACAGGCATTCATTCGTTATTACTTGCCTGACAATTTTGGTTGTTATTGTACACATGCCAATCAAATGACAAATGGCATAGACTAATACTGTCATCTCACAGACTAAACATTTAACTAAATAACACTTTTAAAAAGTAGTTTTGATCGGTCGCAAGTGTTGCTATTTGAATTCACCCCTCCTTCTTCTCTCAGGTATTATAAGATTATAATAAGGCTTTATACCATAATTAAATGTGGTATACTCTCTCTGTATTATAGTTTCCATTAGGAAGAAGAAGTGGCTGTGATATTTACTGGTTCGGAGGAGCATTTGAAATCCCTGATAACCTTCCTGAAAAGGGGTTGCTGAATAAATATTCAGGTACAATTATTTAATAATTTTTGGCATTATGCACAAATAGTATCGTTTCTGCTTTCTCTGCTTAAATGTGTTAGGATGACCTTGGCCAATACCAGTAGTGTCTTTATAATTCACTGTGCCATCCTGGMAGGTAAATGTCTTTCCTTCTAAATGATATGACTGGCTACCTTGCCATTATAAAAACCTTTTTAACAACAAAAGACGGATGCTCGCCATGTTTCAATGCAAGATGGCACAGTTGGCTGTCAAGATTATTGTTTATTATAGTTATTTTATTTTTGTTTTTGGAGATTATTGTTATTTTCTTTGGAATATTGCTGGCAAAGAATCCTGATAGTAGTTGTAGATTAGAGATCAAAAATTAATGTTAAATTTATAAGCATATGGGTTCTGTGTCTGTGAATGTCCACAGATGGCCAGTGAGTGACAGATCGTCTGACTCCGATAACTCCAATTGGAAGTGAAAATGGCAGCTGATATACATAGCTAATGATACATTAATTATTGATATGGTGTAAGGCAGGATTAGATTGATGATAGTTTTCTTTTACATGCACACATGTATCATCAGCTAAAGTATTTTTTTCACTTACAAGTAATGTTTGTCATTTGAATTTGTTTTATACAAAAATATTATTATGTAGGAATTCAAAAATTTAATAAATGGTGAAAGATGTACTTTGTGCACGTACAATCCTTGTGCCAAAAATTAGATTTATCAGAATATAATATCTAAAATTTAGTTGATTCTATGAACTAATTCCATCCATATAATTGTTCAATTTCCAGGGATGTCTGATGCTACACATAAGGTAGAGCTGACAAAGCAACTCAACAGAATGAAAAAGCTTTTTCCTCAAGAATATTCATTTTATCCCAAAACATGGATTCTCCCCAATGAATACCCAGAACTCATTGCATGTGTGTCTAAGAACCCCAATAGTGTTTATATAGTAAAGCCAGACATTGGATCACAAGGTGATGGGATCTTTCTCTTGAACAATCCTTATGATGTTCACTTCAGTCCTTTACTTGCCAAACCATGTATTGTGCAAAGATATGTTGAAAGTCCACTCTTGCTTGAGAAATTTAAGTTTGACTTAAGAATCTATGTGATTTTAAAGAGCATTGAACCTTTGGAGATTTATATCTGCCGTGAAGGGATGGCAAGGTTTTGTACAGAGCCCTACAGTCACCCTACAACAAAGAACTTACATAAGAGTTATATGCATTTGACTAACTACTCGTTGAATAAATTCAGCTCTACCTATGTCCAGAGCGAGGAGCATGACAAAGGCAGTAAAAGGAAGCTAAGTTGTGTCTTCAAACAGTTAGAAAAGAATGGAGAAGATATCGTTAAGCTGTGGTCAGACATAGATGACATAATCTGCAGAACAATTATTGCTTTTGTGCCCAATCTGAAGATCGATGAAGATGCTGCAGTGTTAGATAAAGAATTGAAAGTCAAATTGAAGTGTTTTCAAATACTTGGCTTTGATATTCTTTTAGACAGCGATCTAAAGCCAGTTCTATTGGAAGTAAACTCTAGTCCATCGCTTCGCATTGATCATGAAGAAGAGACAGTTACTGGAAAAGTCGAGTATTTTGTAAGTGTTACTGATGTTGAGATTAAACTTCCAGTGATTACAGATACGATGAGGTTGGCCTATCACTACAGACGGAGGTAATTCACATTTACAATAATTACGATCATAATTGTTATATGTAATAGGACTCCATGCTGTCCAATTAAGAAATAATTGSACGAGGAAAATTCCGAGGACTGCCAAAAATTGGACGAGGCCGTGGCCGATAGCCACATATTGATCCCAAATAGGTAAAAGCTAACCACAGCTTTTAACAATAACAGTAATGACACCTTCATTTTTAACRAAAATTAAAAAATTAACCCCCCMAAAAAATTAACCCCAAAAAATTAACCTAATTGAAAACCTGTCCAATTATTTTCTTAATTGGACAGGATTCCAAAATTAACGAAAAATCCAGCTTTTACCTATTTGGGATTAATATGTGGCTATATAATTATGGTTGTAATAGCCTCAGTGTCGGCGCAAACGATTTCAAACGTGTTCARTATTTCGTTTCTTCTCTTAAATGTTGAATGATGTTGAAGACGTTTGCGTGGTCTTTTCAACAATGGAGTAAAAAGCGACTGTGCAGAATGCGGCTTCGTTGCCGTTCAAAGTGCCGCACAAACGCGTTGCATTGTTATTGCCTTGATTGAGGGGGCTCGAAATGAWAAAAAGAAAATTAGAATGCGAATAAAAAGAAAATTAGAATGCGAGGTTAAAACCCTTACAAATTTATATATGGACAGCACCTAACTCGATCTTGTCAAAAAAAATTGTTAAACAGAAATTTTTATAAAATCGGGCTATTTAATCTTCGACTCGATTAGAATATACTGGCAAAAAATTAGATGGTAGTGAAAAACTACCATCTCATATGGGAGCTATTTGGGAAATTGTAGTTATAAACGTCATAGGGGTCATGTAAAATAATTGTGAATCGACGGGTTGCCCACGGCCAGCATGCTTCAACGTACCCATCGCAAAATCATAATTTCCTGGATATAATGAATATATTCTTTTAATGTCTAAGTGTAGATTAGTCATCCAGTCGTTGATAATTAAATAAAGTGATAAGTCAAATACTGGACCAAAGTTGAAACGATTCACGACGTTTCGATCGATCTTCCTCAGGTAGAATGACTTTGATCCAGTATTTGACTTATCACTTTATTTAATATTCTTTTAATGAGAGTGAAGCTAATAAATATAAATAATGAATATAAATTTTAAGTGGTTATTAACCGAGCGCGATGTCTGTACGGGAAAATATCAGACCGAGGTCTTGACAGATAATAAACTCTTTTATTGTAAGGCTGCGACGTGCGGTCTGTCCAGAGCCGTATTGGATATGGATATCAGTCCAACAATTTTAAATGAAAAAAAATGCTGACAGAGAGTTTGGCGATTCAGGATTTTGTTTGATACAATAATCGACATTCTAAAAGAAATTTGTGTCATTATTATTAAATATATTTACTCGATTTTACTACAGCAATCACTGAGATTGCACATTTAAAACTGTAGCCAAAGTTCCTTTTTGTGGACAATAGCCGTTCGTCATTTGCCAATGGCCATTCCCTCCAGTATCCTTTATTTAAATGTCTTTTACTGACACTTTTCTCTATTTTAGAGGTGATGGGGATTCAATTTCTAGTCCAGAGGAGTATGGATGTTTGGAACAACTTTACCCTAAACGTGCATCTCACTTTAACTACCTCAGAATCCTTGAGCGCTGCCTGGGTCTATACAAGCGGTTTGTTGGAGTGCGCTCAGTACGCAAGATGGGACCGACATCATTTCGTATGATGGCAAGGTAAGTAGCGTTACTAGAATGAACGAACCTATAATACTAACATAATAACTACATTTGCAAAAAGAGTGGAGCAATGTAGACAATACTGAATATTCCGTCACTCCGTCACTGTTTGAAGTGGTTATGATCATAGTGCCAACTATTTTATGGGACGAAGACATATTGTTTTTAGTTTTTTCTACAGTATGTAATTGACTGAAATAATATCGTGAATTACAACCTTATACGTAATTGGACAGCATGATAGAGTCCTAAAAAATAAATATAAAAAAATCACTTTTTTAGTGAATCATTAACATGATAGCGTTATAGTTGAAGCTTTATATTCCAGCTATTTTTCTTTTAGACCTTTGATTTTGATATCCGGATTGATATGGAGGGCCCCCAGTTTCGAATATTGTACTCCCTGGCAAAAGCCAATAGTAATTTTAATTAGTGTTGATTTTAAAATCTGTATCGGTTTAACTTCGGGCTGAATCAAGCTATTCTTTTTCATTCAATAAATCAAGGAATTGAAATATATATTTCGCTATTCCAGGAGATGCTGTCTTACAGAGTTCAATTGCACTTTAGCAGCAATGGACATTCTTTTTATCAACATCAGTAGGAGATTCTCAGCTTGCGACAATGGCAGGGCAGCGCTGGATTTCAACGCTTTTGTAGAGATGTTGTTAACAATAAGCCAACGAGGTCTTTCGATTCAAGGAAGACAACCTATCGACAACCTTCGATATATCTTAAGACATTGTGAGATAAACTTAGAAAAACCGAAATGTCGAAAACAGCATCTTGATAAGCTACCGGTGTCGCCTCTTGTGAGACGTCCAATGAAGAGTACCTTCAGTCTTCCTACTTCACCAGCCGTTTAGAGAAAAAAGTGGTTCAGTCTTGGAATATTTCTATGATTTCTCGCGTTAGTCCGCAATTAATTTGTTCGCAGTCACGGTTACCTTGCAAGATGGCTCCGGAGCTTTGGAGAAGTCTATTGTACGTACTATGCAAGGTCTCGATGCCGATTTAGCGTGTTTTGAATAAAGTAGTCCCGTCTCGCAATTCTTTATTACCMTTTCTCTGATGTGTTTCTAATGTGCTCTCCGCTCTTATGGGTGTTCTTTACGTGACATGACAGCGGCAGCTGCGGAAGTGCATGCAGCTCGATGAAACATTTTGTTKTTGAATGTAAAAAACAATAGGGCGGTATATTAATCTACTTTTTTGGGGGACTATTTTCGTGCCTTACTTCAAACTACTTTGGAAAATCAAGCTTTGGTGAAAATATAAATGATAAAGCTTATCACAACCGCCAATAGACCAAAGTACTTACAATAATTGTTTCTTCTCTTTTAGCATTAATGTAAACAACTCAGTTTTTTCTTTTAAATGTAGGGGAAATACTGCATTGACTTCGCAACCGGTTTTTTCATCGATGAGTATTGAATGGATGTGCAGCTTTGTAAATTTACCTCGCTTCACCACACAACTTTCACTTGAAAATTGACCCACTTCATTACGACGTCACATCAAAACATTCTATTGTTTTAACGCTAAGGATTTTGGTCGTCAGAAAGGATCAGAGTGACGGCACATAGGATTCATTGAAGTTCTACTTTAGGAGACCATACAAATGGGTTCAAATTTCCAATGATTTTTAGCATCGTTTTCCACTAGGGCAATTATGATATACAGAATAAATATTTTTTAATCTCCAGTGCTTTTTCTTTGAAATAACCACCTGTTTATATTTAAACTGAAATAATTATTCGCCTCAGGCTCAGAGGTTATTGCTCTTTTTATCAATTGAAATCGTTCTTCACAGAAACTGACKKGAAAATCTTATCAATAGCATCTTCAATTCTCCGGAATAATAAATTTCGTGCTCGCTCGAGAGTAAACAACAACGATAGAGAATTGGAGCAAGATACAACAGGACAGCATTCATGAGCAATGCAATACCATACAATAGCATTCAACCTACGAAGGGTCTGTACGACTTCCATATATGGTTGTGCATATACGGTGTTGATGTGCACATAGAAAGCGCCGATACACACATGCAAGGCTCTCATGTCCAAATTATGTGAAGAACTTAAAAAAATTCCAAAGACTTAAATTTAAACTGAAAAGAAATTTTTGAAGGACGCGTATTTTAACAAGAACTTAAACATAATTTGCATGACGTAAGTGAAATTTCAAAGGAACAATAGCCATTCTGTGCGTGGACCAATCTTTTAAGATTTTTAAAAACACTGAATTGAGCGAGAAGGGTACCGGTTGCATTCCAAATTTCCTTTCGATATCACATTTCTGATATTCAAGAAAAAAAATGGTTTTCAAGTACAAAGTTGTTGTATATCCACCAGTCAAAGATTTTAAACACTTCAGTTCACAGTAGAAAAGAGACTATTCCATGTTTACACCAAAATATCCAATCAACGCAAAGGTTTGCATTTGAAAGCCTGTGTCATTAAAATTGTAAGTCATATTCACCATGACAGCATTCATGCTTGTGACCAATGATTGCTAATTAGCATCCATCGACGCACATGAATGCGTTTTATTTCTTCTTTCATCCAACTTAAAAGTTACCATTGGACATGAAGAAATATCAAGGAAGTGCAAATCATATATGCGTATAGCTAGTGCCAGGCCGGGAATAGGATCCGTACCATATTCTGTACATTCTGATGTAMAACGTAGAATTTTGATTATATATTTACTATGTTTTGTAAACCGCCATTGATGATTTTAATATTTGTTTATTTTATCTAATATGTTATATTCTGTATACCTGCCAGATAAATATGTAATAAATTACATTTCTTTACTATTTTTAATAAACTATGAATCGGTTAAGAACCCATAACTAACCCCCTGTTGGATAAGCTGAAGGTTGCGGTGAAACAGTTGTTTTAAAATCTTCATAAAATCCATACCTTTGTCGAAAAAATACCCTATCGAATATATCCTAATCAGTGAGGCTACACATCCTTCTTTGCCATAGTCATTTTTATCCAATTGATGCCGAAGCTATGGCAAACCAATTGCTAAAGCGGCCATTGGGAATCTTTCTTGACTGATGGACTGAATCGAAGCAAACCTTGGCCTTGAGTCTCTCCATTAGTATTTTTGCATCATGATTGATACCTATTGGGCAGACGATATAGACCGATGAGGAAGACGACCATCCCTCGTCTAGCATTTCTTGAAATATTGCTTTCATTAAACCCTCGGCAATTTCCATCGAGTTTGCGTAAAGAGGTCCCAGTCGATATCCTTGTCTGTTAAAAGTGACTCTACTTGCTGCATAGCCAGATATATTCCCCTCGTGACTTACAGCAACTCGTGCATGACTGCCTGGAGTGTGCAGCCATTGATGCAAGAAGGTTTGTCTTGGGTATCCAAACACTGACGTGTCATACTTAGTCAAAGCTTGAAAATCGACCTCACGAACAGTGCACATTTGATGCTTCGAAAGAATTGTACAAGAGTCAAGAACAGAATAAGCTCTTGGGAGATCAAGCTCAAAAAATGGCGTGAGCCAGAAGGGATGCATTCCCTGCAATTTCCTGTTGAGATCCACCACATTCATTAATGAATACCCTGATATGTTACATGAAGGTGATAGCCTCTCTA